TAGTAGTTCAGTAAATGGGGAGATGAACACTCAGAGCTCATCCTCATAGTCAAGTTTAAGGTACTATCTACCACCTTGAACTGCCAGCATAAATTATGTTCCTCCCAATTTTGCCACAGTAATGAAGCTGATAAATGAGGCTGTTCCAGTTTACCTACTGCAGTCCAAGTTAAGAAAAGGGATTAGTAGATTTCCCCAGCTTTGTATTGCCTCCCACCCAGCATCCATTGGGGATTCCCCATTGCCAGTGGGGAAACAAGAACAAATTGGTCTTCCAAATGCAGAGTGGAGCAAGTTTAGACAGATGTTGAAGGGCAAGTTTAGCCATCTGTCAAGTTGCCCGACCAATGGATGACAAGCAGAGTGAACTGGGAAGGAGCTCTCTTGATGTTCCTTGTAACCTTTCCTCTGCAGCTATTACTATCAGGTAGACTATTTCCATACATGGCTATAGCACTTTTCTGAAAAAAGCACTAAACTTCTATTCAGGAATTGCCTGGCTGACAGATAACAGTTATTGGGGGTAGGGGATAAGGGTAAGAAGGGCCACGGCATGAAGGAAGCTCTCCCAATATACCTGCTCAGCACAATCCCTTCTCTGTTCCGGTTACCTTTTATTAGGCTGTTTCTGATCATGGGTTTAGACTCTTCTGAAAGATTACCAAGACCGTGGATTACCAAGGAATCCAGTTCAGGCCTCATGGTTGGCAGCATGCAAAAGTAGGCAAGGAATGGACAAGGAGAACACATACACTAGACCAGAGCTCTGGAATCATGCAACTGCTACTGGTACCCACTCCTCATCAAAGGGGACATAAGTAACTGTGAGACATTGCACAAACAGCCATGGAAACTGCAGCTGTATAAGATTAATCCTGGGAGCATTCCCCAGTCAGGACATTGTTGTAGTATTTTTGCACAGTCCTCAGAGATATGGCCACATGAAACCTTGTAATTGATGGACTCAATGGTGGCAGGACTAGCAACACAAATTGGGCACAGCCCATCATTCTTTCCCAGTTCAAATGCACTTTCTGTGCCACGCGGGATTAGCACTCTTTCGGAAGAGCACGAAACCTGTATTTCTAAGGAGCCCACATGAGCCTTGACAAGTGCTATGAAAAGCAATAATCAAGCCTTATGCAAGCAGGTACCTCTGAACAAGCCTAGAGTCCAATGTCTCCTGTGGTTCAAGCTAAAATGGTCCTGGAGGGCAGTGACCAGTGACCAGAGGAAGAGGATGTATCTGCAGCCACCTCACGTGGCCAATGGGAGCTGGGCAGTTCCTAATCTCTGATCACATCAGCAACCAAATGGTTGGTGAAGAGTGCCAGGTCATAATCTGGACAAAAATTGAACCAAGAGAAGAGAGAAAGCACTCCTTCAGAACTGGAACTGCTCAGGACAACTTTAAATTTCCTCAGTTATGGGCTCGGGATGAGATGAAGACAACATTATGAGGATATGGCAGAGAAGGAGGTTGCTGGGCCATGCTCGTGCCACAGTTCAGAGCAAGAGAGAGATGTCAAGGAACATATTCTCATACACCTCAGTCCAGATATGTATTTTCAGTACCAGAAAAGCTCTTTTAAACAGAATCCATTCTTATTTTCCCCTAGCTTTCTCTGTTTCACTAACCTAATTTCCTTAGAGGAAGGTGTTGCTATGGTTAAACAATTGGAAGATCCTTAGCAATTGGCTGTGACTCACCCAGAACTCTATCCTGAATCCCGATCTACTATCTGCTCAGTTCAAGGGTGTGGGATACACTAACTCATCCAAATACAGAGCTCCCTGAATCATTTACAAATATACAACAGAGAAGTATTAGAGCCAAAGACTGCATGGATATGATACGCAGACATATTTTGGACAGTATAGGCATTTGATATATTATGTTAATTATATTAGCCTTGCTTGTGTGCCAAAATCGGCTTCCAAAGTAGCTCACAGCAATCAGAATTACAGTGCCAAAGGCTGTCCTCATTGAGACTGGGACCCAGGTTGTCAGAGAGACGGTTAGCAGCCGCCTTCCTTTCCTTCACTCATTTCACTGATGGAAGCTGGTCGTTCTGGCAGAGGAGAGTCTCAAATATGGTGAGAGCTAATTGTTAACTGGAGGTGTAGTACTCCTAACAGTCCCAAGCGGGATGAAGTATCCTCCAGGAGAAGATGAGAGGAGATGAGACAAAGACCATTCTGGAGCCTCTTTTGTTTCTGAAGCATCTCTGTGCTGGTATTTTTTCAGATATAACTGCTGCTCTGTGATCAGATATAATGAATACAGCACAATATTTGCTGAATTTTTAATGTGAGCAAGTACTTCATGCCAATGCATAGGACAAGGAGCCAGATTTTGCAAGATCACATGTGCTTTATCACTTGTGTTCACCATGGAAACTCATGCCAGAAATTGGCAATGTACTGTTGAAACTGCAGAAGAAATAGGACATTACAAGAGTAATTTTAAAACATGGTATCCCATAGGCACCGTACCCAGACTATTCCAAAGCTATCCATTTATAACTATGATGATGCTAAAATGATGAAATGCGCATTGTGATGTCACAACGAAAGCCCTACCTTTTCATATTTGCATTGCAATGTTGCTTCAAATAGGTAAGGGGAAGAGTGGTTGCAACATTACTGTGCGTGTTTTATCACTTGACTTCCCATCTCTCGGAGAATACCTATATAGGTAGTCCTCGTTTAACAACCACAATTGGGACCAGCAACTTGGTCATAAGCGAAGTGGTCGCTAAGTGGAAATGTGACTGTACTTACAATTTTACCTCAGCTTTCCTTTGCTTTACAGACCTATGAAGGTTGTAAATGCAAGGACTGGTCGCAAAGTTATTTTTTAATCATCTTCGTAACTGCAAACCATTGCTAAATGAGTCAGTCACTAAACAAGGACTACCTGTAATGCTGCTTTGAGCTCTTGGAAGGATAGAAACCTAACAAATTAATGAACAAATCTATATGAGCAAATGGAATGGTGGATGGATAAATATATGCAGGTTTTAAAGTTTTAAAAATGTGGTTATTCACAATTGTGCAGCTAAAACTGAGCACTCACCATCACAAGTTAACACCTGACGAATTGCCACCTTCATGAAATGAGAGGAAATGGAATAAAATTCCAGATGAAAGTGGAGAAAAATGTTGCAAAAACAATTTTACATCTTTAAAGGTGTTTGCATTGATAAAAGTTATAATATACTACTAGATAACCCGTGACCCATTGGGTCATTGTTTCAGATATATTTCCTTACCTAAACAGAGAAACAGAATGACAAGGGCAAAAAAGCAGTGGGAGTGTGAACGACTTACAATTTGCTGCCGACTTCCCCATTGACTTTGCTTGTGGGAAGCTGGCAGGGAGCGTCAAAAATCCTCCCTCCCTCTCTCCCTCCCTCCCTCTCCACATATAATATAATATTCCACATATATATTCTTGCACCGTTTGCCCTCCCTTCACAACCCTCAGGAGAGCCCCGGTGAAGCCTCCTCCTCCTCCTCCTCAACTGACCTGCAGAACTGCTTGCCACTTTGCTGGGGGGAGGTGGAACAAAGGGTACCGTGGACCATGAGGAAAACTGCACCCCTGATCTCCATTCTGGCAAGTCCCCAAGGGCCCCCTCCCTCAAGGGAGGAAGAGGACTCACCCATTGACTGCCAGTGCCCCCTAGCCAGCCCTACCTCACCAGCAGGCATCCAAGCCGCTCCCTCATCCTTCCCTCAAACCCACTGCTGTTAAGAGATTTCAGATTTCTGCCTCATTTCCAAAGCAACCAATCACAGCTCAGCAGCCTTGCACCAGCCAATTGGGCACAGGGGACAGAGGGAGGTGGGAAAGAGGGTGGGGATACGCTCATGATGATCATGTGATCTGGGCTGACCACGGCAGCACAGCAGTGCTGAAGTGGCCACAAATATCCCAAATTTCAATCCCATGGGAGTCATGGGTCCTGGATTTTGGATGCATTCTGTAAGTTAGCCCATTTGAGGTACCTTGGTTCAAATACTGTTGCCCTATGATGCACCATTTCACCCAGTTGAAGGTTACAGACACAAGAGTTTTAGTAGTATATAGATATTTCAACATACCTAAATCAGTAGCATGTGGAAACTGCAAGAAATGACAGTACAATAAGTACTGTAATAAAGGTCTAGAAAAAAAACAGCATATAAATGGCAAAAGAGCATGGGTTGGGGATTGTAACATGTGCTCTGTGACTGAACCAGACTTCCTGTGCTCAGGGGAGGAAAAAACATAATGTAAACTGGCCCTTTCAGTCTACCTTGTCCAGCATCCAGTTGCCACCAAATACAAAGATATAACTAATAATGTACATACAAAAGCTTACACATTTGTAGTATGTTTTGAGAAAATCACACACAGCATGACCATTTGTTATAGGAAGGTCAAACTTCCACATTTTCCATTGCACAGTATTTGTGCTGTCCTTTGCAGCAGGAACTTACAAACACTTTTTGGACTGGGTTGCAATGATACCTCATTCTACATCTCCACTTCTACCACACCTTTACAATGTACCAGGTAAAAATTGACTATCTTTCTTGAATTAGATGCAGCATCTTCCATCTGAAATGTATTATTTCATATGTAAATATATACAAATGTAAAAACTTCTCTTAGGTATCATCATCATCGCAATAGTAACCATCATGAAGTTACATTACCATGAAAAGAAAAAAAGTTCATTCAAATTTAAACTGGCCAGGTGACAACCCCCATGCAGTTCTAAACTGCAGTTCAGTTTGGGTGAGGTTTTGGCATCATCTTCTCACATCTGGATCATATTAGACATTCCAGTTTCTGGATGGTTGAGGCTTTGTTCCTCCCTCCTCCATTTTTGTCCCAACGCCTGAGTGGGCAGACAGCAGTGAATTCCAGGAGAAAAAGGCAGACTCACTCTTTCCTCATATCTGGGCAGACTCAGGAGAACTGGCATCCCCTTCCACTGTTTGGACAACAAGTCTGGATAGAGAGAGAGACATCATGGAGCTTTGGACTCTGATGCAGCTGCTGCTGCTGGGGACACTGTTGGGTGCAGCTCAGGGACAAGGGGATGAGCTCAGCTCTGAAGAAGAACGAAAAGCTCTGATGCTCAAGGTGAGAAAACCTCTTCTTTGCCCTGGGACTTCTTATCACAAGGGAACTGCGGACCTAATAACTGGGCAGCTTCTTGGGCCAACACCAATCAAAGAGTGCTTCCTTGCTTGCTAGAAAGAGTAAATCTGGAATCTTGAGTTGCTTCTTAAATAGCTTTAAGAGCTGTCATAGAAAAAAGTAGGAATGATTTAGAAGCCATTGAATCATCCCAGGAGATTCTGGGATGAAGTTAGAATGGAAACAAAAGAAAAAACAAACAATCCTAAAATAAACTTGGGTGGCTCCAGCATAAAGATCTTCTTCATCTTTGCTTGGCAATAGTCTTAAAAAATTCATGCGGTCACTTTATGTAACAGACATAACTTTATGTTTCCCTCTTGGCAAGTGTCTCTTTACTACAAAATCTGGCAATGGAGACAGGCATGCTGGCTCCCCAGCTCCTCCAGTTACAGTTTCTCCAACTGTTTTCCTTGTCAGGAAAAATGGGAAATTGCAGCTCTTTTGCTTCCCCCTCACGTATTTGTGGAACGGTTGCCAATGAATCCCTTCTTTCAAACTTAAGTTCAGGACAGAGCAATTTGACAAGTATCCCCTTAAACCTGGAATCAACTCTGGTGACATATTATCCTCTGGTGAGGAAAAACTGGAAAAAGAAGCCCATTTACAATATTGGAGATCACACCGATATATCAGGGAGTGAAGGAAACAAGAGCAGAGCCTGGGGCAGATTCCTCTAACCTGATGTCCTCCCACACTTTCTAGCCCTCCTTTGAGTTATCGTCTCAATATATTTGAAGGGCAGCAAGTTGGGAAGATTGGCAAAGGCATTTATGTGCTTATGGTATGGACAGAAGAGTCTAGCCAACCTTCCCTCCCTTCTTCTCTCTCATGCACACAAAGAATTTTATTTTGGAAGGAAATTAAAACTAGAGCCCATGAAAAGGGAGGGCACATGCTTTTCAATGTAATATATTTCTATAGCACTTCCCATGCCAATGCATCTCAACGCAACTTTTGTGTAGCTGCTTAGCCACAGATTATGGCTTTCCTGCAATGAAGCACTCTATCTCCAGCCAGAGGTGCCCCCATTTTTGGTGAGCGCAAATGAGAATTTGAAATCACGGGTAGATATTGGCTTTCCATTTTAGTTAGTCTTAACCAGAAATGATGGGTACTCCAGATTTAGACAGCTCTGTGGGGTGGGACTGAAATGACAGTATGCATGTTTACATTTCTAATTTTGCTCATTTAATGAATGAGTAACATGGGTTTACATTAGAAGAAGACTTGAACAGGACTTAGGTTTATACAAGCTGTTTATGTTTAGCTACTGCAGAGGAGCAATCAGGTGGCAGTGCTCAGCTAATCTTAACTGATCTCCAAAAAACGCCGAGTGGGGTCTTCAAATGGGAGGGAGACTACCAGAAAATCCCAAGTCTGTGGGTGAAATTGGGAAGTCAAAAGAACATCTGCGAAAAAGACAACGACAAACCAATTTTACGCTGCTGACAAGAAAACAATGTAAGAAATGGTGAAGGAAACCATAACGTGTTACTATAGATGCAGTTGGGAACTCTAGGTTTAGCAGCATTTCTGAATGCATAGAGAGACATCTTGCCTGCACAATCAGGTGGAGTCTGTGTTGCCTTTCTTCAGGTTAAATACAAGAGATGGAACAGTGGGCTTGAATTGCAGGTGGGTGAAAATGAACTTGGCCTTTGTATCTTTGGGACAGCCAGTGTCCTGTTCTTGGGACTCTTTCAGAGAATGTTACAGCAGATGACCTTATTTGGCAACGATTGACAGGTGTCAGGGTTGGCTGGCATTAGCATGTGACAGCCTTGGGCATGGCCCATGGCTGACTTTGGCGGGTTCTAATGAAGAATTGGAAGCTCTCTTTTTTAAATCTGCTACACAGCAATGCCAAACGTCTCCCCAAAGAAGCTCACTCTGAATTTAACAGGACCTACACCTACAAAGGAAGATTAGACCGAAACCTTCAGGTGACTGCTTCCATTACTATAGTCTCAGCAAACCTAAAAGTCAAGCTTCCCATAAAAAGATAAATTATTTAGGGGAAAAATTAGTCCTCCTTTCAGGAAAATGTCACACTGTATCGAGAACAATGCAAGGAATTAAAATGGTAGCTCGTGCCTGGACGAAAGTAGTATTATTGTTGCCTCTATGAAAACCAGGTGTGCTGAGCTGGGGAGGGGCACATGAGAAACTACTTTGTCAAGGCTCTTTGAAATCTGGAGTGGCTCCTGACAGGGTATGGGAGGCGCCTTGTGGACTGCTTTGAGGGTCCCATCATCCAAAATCTGAAGCAAAACTATGATTTTGATTCCCCCCTCCATATGTGTTAATTGAACATCAGTACATACTTTTTGAGAATTCTTAATCTGTATCTGTTGCGTACAATGTGTTCTACCAGCAAGCTGCAGCCCGAAGATTTCTACATGAAATCTGAATAAATCTATATATTGTACTACTGAAACTCTCATTATGTTTATCTGTTTGTCTGTTTGTCCCCTGAAGTTAGCCCAAATGCTGCATTATACTGCAACAATTTTTGAAACAAGGTACCTAAAATCCACTAACTTAAAGAATGCTTAAAAAATCCGGGACCCATTACCCCTGTGGAATTGAAATTTCCACAATGTTCAGACCAGTTTTATTTGCAAAGTTGTGGCTGTTGCAGCACCTCCGTAGTCACGTGATTGTGATTTCTGACGCTCCCTGCCAGCTTCCCACAAGCAAAGTCAATGGGGAAGCTGGCAGGAAGTTGGAAGTTACTCCTGTTCCCACTGCTTTTTTGCCCACCTGTGGTCATTCTGTTTATCTGTTTAAGTAAGTAAATATTGATTTATTATTGACATTTGTTTGCCACTACAATTAGTTTTCTATTTATGATATATACCCTTCTTAGATGATCATGGGACCGTCCAACATTGGGATAAAAAAAATATGGTCGGTCTAACATTTAATGTTCTGGTCACATTCAGACTGTACTACCTTTCTCTCCAAGGATGACCCAACAGGTCACAGGGTTGTCTAGTAAAAGCTAAAGTTAAACCAGTGGTTATTACGATGGCTCCTAACATTTATGTATATACTGGTTGTAATTGTATTCTTTTTGCTATCTGTAATGGATAGACTCACAAATATGAGCCTGCCTTATCCCTTCCCTAGATCACCATGTTTAAAGTATGGTGTAACTTTATTGTTATTTGTACTGTGGAATCCTTGAGGTTCTCTGAGCTTCGTTGTTTTCTTGCAGACGTTTCCAGGAATTCCTGGAAGCTTGGTATCAGACAAGTCAGCCATTAACAGGCATATAGAGATAAACAACATTTACACACTATTCAAAAGAGACAATAAAAAGGAAACAAAATGATCAGATCACCTCCTCTCCAGCAATCAACACCCAAATAAGCAGGGATTAACACCAGGATTAACACCAGACAAACAATGAAGCAGTAAACAATACTCCAGTCTAAGAACTACCAACTCAGACAAACAATCAAGCAGTAACAACAGCCTAATCAAAGAACTACTAAGTTAAAAACAACTCCCCCACCAACACTGACAGGGCAAGCTACTGTTTATGAACAAAGAGCAAACCCCATTCCTTTCTATCACTGATGATGTTACCTAGCTGGGTAACGAAGCATCTGCAAGAAAACAACCAAGCTCAGAGAACCCCAAGGACTCCACATTTCAACCATGAGCTACATATATTCTGTTCTATTGGTATTTGTACTGTGCTTAAATATAAGCACGTAGCAAATAAAAATACCACAATACAGAATTCTGGGAGTTGAAGTCCACATGTCTTAAAGTTGCCAAGTTTGAGAAACACTGGTAATGGATGGGGTGATCTGTACACTATATGTGAGTCTAAGTATGTTCTATTTCTACAAAAGCTGCTGTCCTTTTCCAGGCTGGGGGAGGCAAGTAGAAGTCTCTTTTTCTACAATCAGAGTTGGCTACAGGCTCCTGAGGGTAGTAGGAAGGGCTGAAGGAGCAGATTTTTCCTGGGACTCAAGTCCTTTGGCCAAAAGCCTGAAAGAACTAGAATTAAAAGTATAGAATTGGCAGGAAAAATATATATGCAAAAGGGGTCATTTATTTCTTTTCAGTACTGTTTAGTTCTGTTATGTAGATTTACCTTTACTTGCATGTTTGTCCCTGTTTCTATGTTTGTCTGTTTGCTTAATTTTTAACACTTGTACGTAGTCTCCTGTAACTTGGTTCCCCAACTGTTTATTTTGTTGCATTTACTAAAATAAAATGCTTTTATTAATTGTTATTCCAGTATTGGGTTTGTAGTAGCACCACATGTTCCAAAATTACTTGTAAAAAAAAGGGTGGAGGGGGGGTCTCCTATTCTGCTTTATCTAGATTTCAGGTAAAGGGGAAGGTGGGCTTTCTGCACTCAAGAACGGATGCTGGCAATTTAACAACTTATCCCAGGTAGAACTCCAAGAAGCAGCTACACCCTGACACACTGGAACTCAGGTGGGAGGATAGAGATCAGGGTCAACCACAGGCAGTGACTCAGAAAACTCAAGATGGCAGTTCTGAGTGTGCTATCAAAGCCAAGCCCTTTTTACATGCCTTTCAATCACATAGTTATGCCACCATGTTGACTTTTATTTATCAAAAAGTCAAGATGGCAGATGCCCTGTATAAAGAATGCAAAAAAAAAAAAAAAAAAAGGTGGGCCTTGATTGCTTAGTTGTGGCTATGTTGATTTTTTTGACCCCCATGGATCCCTCTGTAAAAAATAGATGCACACATGTATATATCAAACAATTGATTTAAAATGTGTATCTAACCCTGCGCTACCATCATTTGAATTGTTATTGGGTATGGCAACTGAAAAGAATGGTTCTTCCAGCTTTGTAAAGGATCGGAAGAAGTAAGTGTTTTCGAACCTCACAAAATCAATCTCTAAAGGTAGTTCAACAGGGGGTGGGTTTGAAAGAATAGGAGCTACGTGGGAAAAGGCTTTGAAACAGTGGAAAGTACACAGAGAAGCAATACCAGAAGTTTCATTTGTTTTCTGATCTTCTAGATCAGTGTTTCTCAACCTTGGCCACTTGAAGATGTGTGGACTTCAACTCCCAGAATTCCCCAGTCAGCATGGCTAGCTGGGGAATTCTGGGAGTTGAAGTTCACATATCTCAATCTCTAAAGGTAGTTCAACAGGGGGTGGGTTTGAAAGAATAGGAGCTACGTGGGAAAAGGCTTTGAAACAGTGGAAAGTACACAGAGAAGCAATACCAGAAGTTTCATTTGTTTTCTGATCTTCTAGATCAGTGTTTCTCAACCTTGGCCACTTGAAGATGTGTGGACTTCAACTCCCAGAATTCCCCAGTCAGCATGGCTAGCTGGGGAATTCTGGGAGTTGAAGTTCACATATCTTCAAGTGGCCAAGGTTGAGAAACACTGTTCTAGATCAATGTTCCTCAAACTTGGCAATTTTAAGATGTGTAGATTTCAACTCCCAGAATTCCCCAGTCAGCATATGTTGAAGTCCACACATCATCAAGTGGCCAAGGTTGAGAAACACTGTTCTAGATCAATGTTCCTCAAACTTGGCAATTTTAAGATGTGTAGATTTCAACTCCCAGAATTCCCCAGTCAGCATATGTTGAAGTCCACACATCATCAAGTGGCCAAGGTTGAGAAAAACTGCCCTAGATAGTTGGCCTAGCTGGAAAAGGCAAGTCAATGGGCAGTGGTTATATAGGAGAAGAAATGGAAGCCAACTGACGATGCCTGTCCAGTCTCAGACCCAAATATATGGCCTGTCAGCAGTCATAAGTCTAGTCTTCCCCTGGAATGGCTATGGTCCTTTTTTCCCCTTAACATCAATGAGTCTTTCATAATGCAGAAAGACGATTTCGTTGGTTAGGAAAAAAATAACCTACAGCAATGACAGAAATTAAAACAAAAAACAAAAAACAAAAATGAGATGTGCAAACCAAACAGTATGATTAGAGCTATGGTAACAGAAGAATGGTAATTGCAGAATAGCAACGAATATTGAAATGTGAATTCACATATCCACCCTGGTGCCAGCCTCTCTCTTTTTAAATAGAACTTTAGGGCTAAAAAAACCCGAATCAATCAATAGAAGAGTGGCTGTAAGTTTACTCACTGCAAATAGTATAAATTGGGATTTTGTATTAAGGTATGGAAGTATGTGCTTCATGTTAAGGTTTGTAAATCCTAATGATATGAAGATTCCCTCCCAAAAATGGGGGAGATCTCCCTCTCACCTCCTTCCTTCCTTCCTTCCTTCCTTCCT